GTCTGTCGGATGAGGCGAAAGAATCATAAAATAATTCACTACTGCTTCTTCCATCATCTTTATTTATCTTTTAAACGAGATCAGAACGGTAATATTCGCGTTAGCGACAAATGGAATATTTCAACATCCAGCCATCTTAAACGATTTACTTAGTTCCAGGGTCGGAGCATTCATGTTAGCAGTGTTAGTGCGGCTAACACTTTGAAAAAAACGAGAAACAATAAGTCTCACTATCGTGCTCCATTGGTACTCCACGCACTAGAATACAGCAGAACCGATCTGATAAAATGCATAGTTAACCAGCTCCAACTTGCCCATGTTAGCAACCTCTTTCCCGTCTCAGGTGAGCGCCACTAGCCAATCATTCAACACCGTCTCATGCCGTAAATAAACCCCCACTTGACTGACCAATCCAGATATTTTACCAAAATAACAACCACAGCTTCTGGTTGCAAGATGGTTCGGCTTAGTTTGTTTGTCATCAGTCTTTCGACTGGTTTGATGCGGTCCTCCATTTTCGCTTATCTTGCGCCGATCACTTCATTTCCACATATCTTTTACATCCAACATCCTCAAAAATCTGTGTCACATATTCCAATCTTTGTCTCCCCCTACAATTCCTCCCTTCAACTACCAAATTAACCAATCAGAATGTGTCCCACCATCCTATCTCTTCTTCTCGTAAGATTTTTCCATAGACTTCTTCCTTCGCCTATCCTGTCTATTAAGAAGAAAATCGTCTTGGGACGGGAGATGGCGTTCATGAGAGCTGTTTCGTGTTAACTGACGAGCTGCAAGTGAAGTGGGCACGCGCTACTTGACTAGTAGAAGCCAGGGCGATCGCAAGTGAAGTGGGTCTCGAAATGAACCAACACCAAACTAATATGAAAATGCCGAGACAAAATTTAATGGGCATCTACCGTGTGGGGTTTGACCCAAACAGAACGCTGTTACTTGAGAGTAGGTGGCCCGACATGAAACAGTTACTTTCCGAAACGCACCCAGGAACAGAAATATTTTGGGACGAGTTTCCGTACCTAACACTACTGAGAAAATTGCGACTGCTAAACCACCTAGAAGCAATGCAACACCGCTAGACATCGGACAGGCACAACGTCACGTACCTTGCTGTATGTCATGCGAAAACAAGATTCCTTCTCAGAATGTCTGCAACTGACACGCGAGGCCGGAATTTTTGAGCTATTCAATTGTCACAGGATACACAAACTGTGAGCAGCCTGTTAAAATAAAATGTGCAACAAACACTTCGCTTTCTCCATACGTTATGAGATGGATTAGACCAGAGGTTCCCAAAGTGTGGGGCGCCCCCCCTAGGGAGGCGCGTTTTTTGTGGGGGGGGTGGGGGTGTTGTTTGTACGAAAAACTTTTTTTAACGAAATATGGAGAAACATTTTTAACATCCTTTGCTTGGTTAAGGCAGTTTAGTTGTCTTACAGTGCTGTATACTCATAGCTAAATTTTATGTCAAATCTGTTTGCTTGAAACTGTTCTGGAAGGGGGGCGTAAAATTTATTAAATGTTTTAAGGGGGCACAAGGTATAAAAGTTTGGGAACCTCTGGATTAGACAATTCTAATATACAACTTACAAAACAATTTTTAAGCCCCACCAAAATATGCAGATTGTGATACTCGACAGAAAATGTGTAATTACTGTATATAAACAGGCGCAGTCCAGTGACTTCTGTCAACGAACAAAAAGCAGTCGCCAATATTATCATTCACATTCTCACACTATTATTTGCGCTGCACTGGCGAGGCCCACGAGTGAGAGAGAGGCAGGTACATTTCTTCTACATTTCCGTGATTCGTAGTCCATTGATATTCTGGTTCAAAGGTTCCGTGTTCGAATCTGACTGTAGACAAACCATTGTATTTGCAAAAACCATCTTTTACAAGCGTCCTCGTTTCTTAAACTATACCAATAACCAGAGCATCGCACCAGAGGGTAGCAAAGTAAGCAATTGCCTACGGCAGCCATGGTCGAAGGGACGCTAAAAAAAACTTAAATCGATCCATAATTAAACCTGATAATCTAAAAATAGAAAAATTTAGTACTTATACATAGGGGCGGCAGATATACTCGGCGCGGCCCTGCCAATAACTTTACATGATTCTGTAATTAACTAATTATAATTAATGGACGCCACAGAAAAGCCACACACAGACAAGTACAAGAAAATTATGAATGATTGGAATACTGACTCCAGTTGTACACTTTCATCACTTTCAGAAACCATGAAAATGTTTTGTTGTGCAGTGTACATTACAACGGTTCGTAGGAATTAACTGATCAGTTCGTGTGAAGTGGAAAAAACTTGGAACGAAGGTATATTTATCTTCACTGGCAGGACTAACCGCGATACATAATAATCCTTGCCGATCGAATTTGTTACAGCCGTTTTCTAACATGGCTTAAAACACTAACGCTGTTTAACAATGTTGCCTCTTCTTCTTGACGCTATAATAGGCCAATTCGCCGCAACGTCTCTCCTACAACACATTCCAACGAAGAAATGGTACTAGCAGGGGTACAGCTACTTTTGCAGCCCAAACCCCACTTTTTTGTGTTTAGGACTGTTTAATTTTCGAAGATGTGTGTGTGTGAGTTATCCCGTCACACAGCCCGGTAGAGATTTACTGACGTTTCAGATGTAATTGCGATGCCCTGCACTTCTGAAACGTCGATAAACTTCAAGACTACACGGCACTGCAACAACAACAAAAGACAGCAACTTTCCTTCTCGCGACCGTGAGAACCTGAAATCCTACATGTTTAATTTCCGCTCACGTAGCAATGCATGTCTCCATCAAGTAAACGGTTACGAAATAGCAACCAATATCAAGGGCTTGAAAAATTATGACACGCCCTACTAGCAAAGCCGTCATAACATCTATTTCCAATTTCTTACACAAGGTAGGATTCGAGTTGAATGAGAAGATGGCTGTATTCTGATATTCCAATCGCGTGCCTTACTCATCACCCTGATAATTGAGGCAGCAAGCAGCTCTGAAACGGTAACTTTTTACCAGGCTACACGGCGCTACAACCCAGACGAGTCTGAAACACTGTGGGAACTCTGCATTTTGTGACATCCGTGGTTTTCACGACTGTGAGCACGTTTCTCCGACACGCTGGCATCTACCAACGAGCCTACACGGCTCCAAAACACACAAAAACATATTCAACTCTGCATTTTACAGACATACTATTTACGAACAACAATTACTTCCCTAAACAGCATTAACCGACTAATCTATGTACCGGAGAAAAATTGTTTTATTTTAAAGTAGAAACTGAATTTCTGAATATTGTTTGGAAGAGATTCGTGTTTCAAAGAAATGTGAATCAGATCAGTATTTCTGATACGTAACATAGTGACGGATAAATACGACATTCCGATTATGCGTACATGTTACGTGTGCGTTTTCCGTTAAAAGACACAACATTCCCAACTGTGATCATGACTATGCAGGCGTTTGGTGTTATCTCATTTTCTTATCAGCGTCTGACTTCACCACTCGATTATTTCGTCAAGATAAAACGAAGTTCTGGATCAAATTATAACAAAGAACATATACACATTCATACATTCCATATCTGACAACTTTTCTCTTTTCCTCTGACGTGCACGCAAAGGAAGAATTTTCTTGTTACGCCCGTATGGAATTTCTCTTTATATTTTGTTACAAAATGACAGCATGATAAGACAGGGTATTCTTGATACGAATATTGAAACAGGAAGAGAAAACACAAGAAACCATATTGCGTGATGGATGTGACTATTGTTCTCACTTCAGTGTTAACAAAAGAAAACGTAATTCAGATGAAATAGACTTTTGTTTTGTGAAAGTAAATAACTTCCTACGAAGTGCAGCTGTAACTACATAGACCCAACACAGCAGGCTTACTCATTAAAAAAACTGGATTGTAGGTTATCTATAGCATTATTATTATTATTGCGCATTTCATTAAATAACTGACACTTTCTTTATTATTATAACGTAAGTGTATGTCAAATATTTACACCTATACATTGCAGTTCAGTGACTGAGGTTAGCTAATTCTAACGTATCCAAAGCAGGAATAATTTCTCATCCTTTCACCGTAAGATGGAAACAGATCGTTTCCGAAACGTTGTGTTCTGTTCGGATTAATACGCGATGGACAAAATCCAGAAAACCAACCGGCCTAATACTAATTCTAATTTTTTTTCCGCTCAGAACGAGATACTTCAGTTTCACATTCATACACAATAACTGGAAGAATTACAGCGTCATATATTTTAATCTTAACGTTTTCTGGTAGAAGTGACACATTTTATGCTGGAAACAACAAATATTTATGGAATGATATGATTACTGCACAACTGTTCACACATCCACTACAGATACGGTATTGCTTCGAGAGATTGTGAAAAATACAATTAGCCCGTGTCATGACAAGACCAAATGCATTCGATTTTGCTCTCAGTCTGTCCATGCATATGTACTTCAAACAAGTCACTGCTGTCTCTTTAATAATACTCATCGCTCATGATAATCTTTCCATTTCATTCGACGTCATATGATTTCCGCAGATGAAAGAGCGTTGTTAAATATCTTTAAGTCAGCCAATTCATCACAGAGCTCCAAGAAGCTGTTCTGGTGTTTATAAAAAAAAAGTACATACACCCTTTTCAGTTTTCTTGGGTATATTTGATTTGCAGACTGGTCACCGTGATACGGTGCGGTACAGGAAAAAGCAACTCTGTCACTGCTTCCAAGAAGCCCATACATTATTGTAAACCAAATGCTGGATCAGGAAATTATCTACGAAAGAATGCTTCCTACGAAAGTTTATAAAAACCCTCAATGTCTGACTTCAACACACTTATCAAAGTATAATGAATGTAAGCTTTTGTTGAAATGCCTACTGGGAAATAAAATAATTGTACAATTTACAACTCGCAATACAACTGCACTACTGTTGGAAACTTACATCATCAGCGGGAAATTCGTAGCATTCTGCAATCTTCTGGTAGAGCTCCCTGACGTTAGAAAACCCCGAAATTAGCCCAGTCGGGCTTCCATGGGCCTGCTGACAATGAAAAATTAACTTCGGACGTCCAACCGATGAATCTGAAACTTTTTCCGGCACCGTCTTGGTACCATTTTGATGACGTTTTGGATCACTTATATCACCATTTGATTCTGGAACAGGATTACTCTCCTTTTTAGGTGTACGCTTTTTGAAAAGAGACATTTTCACCACTTATGTGAACACCTGTCAGTCACAAATCTTCGCCACACACATCCATTCAATGTCTGATTTGTATGAGACACTACTGTGGCACCTGGATGACTCTTTCAGATATGATACTAAATCTTATCTCTCTCTAGTGTTTTAGCACCGTGTATTTGAAAGATAAAGATAGCGTTTCCCAACCCATGAATAGTCCACTCCAAAGTTCAAACACTCATTTGTCCCTCTTCCCAATTCAACGTCCTCATTTCCCAGCTGCAGACTACAGTCAACTCTGAGTCGGCAGGTTAACCAATTCACCTTTTCTATTTTACAATGCAGGCATACAATTAATGACATCTGCTATTGCCGTAAAAGTAGATGCTGGCGGCATCTGCACATAAAAATGAGAACTATTATCTTGATGTAGTTTACATTTCGTCCTAAAGACGGCAGCAAACGTTCTTGTAGTATTGCGCGTCATGTCCGAATACTGTGTCCAATTTGGTAGTTCACAGTCTACATAATCACAGAGTATTAACTCCACCAAACGAAACAGTCATCCTCAGCTTATATGGAACCGTATGCCCATTGCCATGTTCGAGTCAACCACTGGCACATTTACTTAGCTAGATGAATCCATTCCACTCTCCTATATTTACTTAAGATTCATTTTAATATTATCTTCCCATCTTTTTCAGTGTCTCCCAAGTATTTCAGATCAAAACTTTGCATGTAATTCTTTCTCTCACTCACCTCTGTATGTGCTATATACCTACCTATCTCACCCTGACAAATTTTTGAAGAGTACAAATTATAAGGCTATTAACCCTGTATTTTTTTCCCAATGTTACTTTCTTTGTCGTAGGTCCAAATATTTTCTCAATCTACGTCCTTTCTTTAGAATGATAGATCATGTTTCACACCCACACAAAATAACAGTTTTAGGATATGAGACTGTTATAACATATATGAAGGTAATTATCAGGATGATGAATAATTAATTGAGAAGAATACTGTTACAGTTTAATTTATGGTACTAAACAGCATTTGCCTCAAAGGAAAATAAAAATGTGATCTCTCAGCTGAGATTTGAATCTAGGTCCTCTCAATACAAAGTATGAGTGTTAAATGACTGCAAAACCGTGAAAATTAATTTTATATGTTTTTTAACAGGAGACAAAACATTCTGAATTGAATGGTAGCAAGCATTTCCCAAATTTTATCTACTCATTTCTCCTTAAATGTAATATTGACATGTTATTGTCATTTCCAAATATACAAACTTTTCCTTGCTTGAAATAAAGTATTAAGTATCTTTGTATTATGATATTGTCCTGCATTGTGGAGATGACACGCACTGACGTGTCTCTGTTTACCTCTATATCCCTTACTAGCATCTGACAAAACTTGTTCTTTTTTATATTTACACCAGCATCAGCTGATGTGTTTCATTAAATTCCAGTCCCTACTGATACTTAAATTTATAGAAAGGTCTCAAATATGGCATTCATAAATTTTCTCTTCAGCAAACAACTTGATATATGAGTGATGTCACAATTCTATGAAATTACAGCAATTCCACCAGCTATGAAAAAAGGATTTAACCTCTAGAAGCGAATCATTTGAATAAAAGTAAAAAACTATGTCAAGGAAAGAAAATATTGAAACACTAACAAAACGTTTGCCTAACTGACTCAAGCACATAACTCGAACTGCCATCCTGAACTGAAACCTGCAAGGCATGGTCGACTTCTACCATGACCAGACTGCCTGTAATGGTCATTAGTGCTCCAAGTAGTTTGCCCATATGCATGCAAAGGTAATTTATATTACTATTCTATTACACAGGTATATACCATCAAATTAGGTGGAAAGATGATCATCAATGAAGAGCTGGTAATGATTTCGAATTAGGTACTTATGGTCTAACAGATGATAATCAGCATAGCTCCATCCATTGTTCACCCAACATTAAGAATCTTTATTAATGCTCTTAGGGCAACAGCACTGAAAACTGACAGAAATTATGGTTCTAAGCACCTGAACACTTTACAAAAGCAGCATCAGTCTATCCCTATCAATATTAAATTTATTTTGTCACAACAATGCAGACAAACTAACATACTATATCAGAAGTATACTGGGCATGACTTTTAAGAAAGAAAGAAAGAAGCAACAAAAGGTGAAGCTATTACACTTAACAAGTACAACTCTGACAATCTAAAAATAAAATCCATTATTAGTACAGTAATTTGAAAACTTCTGCCTAATGTAAATTATGTACTGCCTTCACCATCATTTTATGGATCAAGATATGAGATCTTTCTCATTGTTGCTTGATGATACAAACAAAAATTACTAAAGTTATGGACTTTTAACAAGTTACATTGAAAGCATGGACTCAACCAAACCTATGCCACCTATAACAGAGGTTACTGCCTTCAAAAGAAACGCTAGGCCAGCACCCTACTCATAGAACACCAGTGTTTCAGACAAACACACCATCTCCATGTAAAACTTTAGGTTCTCTCATTTCCGTACCTCAAACCAATTCCTTGTGTGGCTTAACTCATAATCCTGATGATGAAGGCAGCAGACTTACTGTTCCTAAAATGCCAAATTAACCTCAAATGTTTTTTGAGCATCATTAAATAATTCATTCAAGGATTACTGGGCATTTATGCATTAAAACAAAACTGTATTATTAATGCACACTATAGTCAGGGCAGATTGTAGATCAGGCATCATTTGGGCTGGAATAGAAGTCAAGTTTAGGTGGGGTACAGATAAGATCTGAAGGTAAACTTTTGGCCAAATTCTACTGGGGCTGAGCTGATTGAAATTTTAGCCAATGCAGGCTTCTAGTACATGGTGGCAAACAAACATTCTTACATTACTGGGACTAATAATTTGGCCAGTTATTATTTGTAAAAAGGTTTAACATTATATGAGTTTGGCATGGATTGTTTTTTCCAGGTATTTTGAAATTTTACAAGCATAAGAGTTAACCCAATAACTACATCTCTAGTGGGTATGAGTGTATTACATAAATGTTCTTCTCTAAGGACAATATGGATATTAAGAAACAAATCTTTATTATAAAAAGCCAGTTTGAGGTCTCGGTCTCTGTTGTGCTCCCAGTGGGCACCATGCAATTTCTTAATATTCCACATAGTGCCAGTACCATGCACACAATGTATCCCACCTTACAAGAATAAGGACAGGAAACTATCACTTACTCAGTAATTTAACTTACTGCAAATTGAAATAGTACTGTAAACATGGCTGATGAAGTTCACTGTTGTTCTGCAATGTAAACAAATGAATGTGATGGGAAAGGGATAAGGTAGAGAGGTTGGAAGGGTACAAGGATATGAAGAGAGCACAGGGAAGGAAAAAAAAGGGGTGAGACAAAAAAATTCCCACCAAGTTTCAACAAGCCCCTTCCACAGTTATAACAATAACAATAATGGGTTAAGGTAATGGGGAGAGGTAGTACATTCTACCATCATAGTCTGACTGTGATGGACACTGGTCCACACCCATCCAGGAGTAAAGTGCAATATAGATGCTAATCATCCAACAGCCTCTCCTTGCTCAAGACCATCCATGCACAGTGAAGAGCCATGTCTAACTAAAGGTAACCTTGTTATACAGCAGAACATGACAGATCTAGAGGAGCAAACCTTGATAAACAGTCCCATAGTTCAAAGTGTGAACATCTGTGCTGAGGGACTACAGAAGCATCTGCGGTGGAAGGTCAGAAGCCGAGAATGGTGAACTCCGGGTATCTGGCACCCCGATTTCAAAATGCCTTAGTGTTGCACGTAGGGCTCTGTTACAGTGGACAATGCAATCCCTAGTTACTCATGGGACAAGAAAAAAGGGGGGGGGGATGTAAATGATCAGCAACTACTACTGAAGAATAGATAGAGATCTGGAGTACAGGTGACACAAGAACAAACACTGTCAACAAGCCCAAGACAAAAGAAAATCAATCAAGAAAACCAAGATTGGCTTGGACGTGTGAAGAAATGAAGGAAGTTATGTGGTGTTACATACATGTATTGTAAAACACCCTCTTCAGATGACTTTAAGAGTGTGTATGAGCTATGGAGGAAAAGAAATCCAAATACTAGAACGAATATAGATGCAAAGAAAGATGAACCAAGGAAATTACATTGTGAAGAAAAAAGAGTGAGGACCAATTAGAACAAGCACATGATATGCTTCCTGAACAGGCCCAAACCTAGACCTAGTACCCCAAGATTAAATGGCTTTTCCACAACAAACACAGTCAAACGAGAAACTGAAGTTATGTGCCATCAGGTAAAAATTAGAAAAAAGACCAAGATTAGAGAAACCCCAAAACATGTTCAAAATAAAAGAAAAAATTAAGAATGCAAATGCAGTTCTCACAGAAATACTAGGAGAAAGAAATATGAGTTTAACTTAACCAAATCATCTCATTTATATAACAGCAAAAGTAATAACAGAAAATTTAGATGGACCAACAAAGTTCATGCCAGAAAAACAAACCCTAACAATACCACCCTGGATGAGGAGAATACAAAGTACTATTGATGCCATTCGAAAAGGTTTGCCACCTCTGATGGAAATTACGAGACAGAAAATGTAATGAAGTCGCCAGAGAATGGCAGAAGAAACTGCAAACACATTACTTCATAGATAATACCTCCTTAACACACTACTATTTGCAGATAACCAAGTTATGCTTGCTGACTCTGAAGATAATCTGCAAAGAGCAGTGTATAAATTAAATAACATTGTAAACAAATGTAACTTGAAAAAGTCTTCATAGAAAACTGTAGTTTTGGTTTTTGCAGGAATAAATTCACTCAGAGCAAAAATTATGATAAATAGAAAAATTATAGGACAAGTGAATTATTTTAGATGCAATGTCTCTCACATGTCTTCCAAAGATTTTGACAATAAACTGATAAAATTTCAACAGCTCATAGGTACAACTAAGAAAACCTTACTTAAGAAAGTAAGGGCAGAAACAGCTTTAAAATTTTATAAAACACTGATCATCCCATAGGTCTGAGACAAAGATGCTTACTGCATCTCAGCTGAAGAGATCAGAGACAGCAGAAATGCGACTACTAAGACCACTAGCATGACATACACTCCTTGACCACAAAAGGAATGAAGACATTCATAAAAAGTAGAATATAGAGGGCATTACCAGTATTATCAGTGTATATAGAAAAAATTGGTATGATCACTTGATAAGAATGCCTCCACACAGACTTCTGCTCTACGAACCATCAGAAAGAAGGAACATTGGTTGACCTAAAAACCTTGAAGGACAAGCTGTGATCAACCTGAGGAGATGGAATAGGCCCAATAGCCTAATCCGTAAAGTTACTGATGACGATGAAAATGTAAAATTGGAGTATTAAAAGGAAATGCCTGCTTCAGAAATATAAAACAGAAAGTGAAGAAAGCTTCAATCATATAAATGAAGAACTTTAACAAAAGATGTAAGTAAAGTCGCAATGCATCAGGAGATATAATAGAAGAGAAACCCAATCTCAACAAAACAAACTATTTAGAACAGACTGCAAGAAATCATACAGATCTTTAAGGCAGAAGAAGATAAATATAAAATTCACACCTAAGGATAAATTAAAACTTTTTGGAAAGAAATATATGAAACAAACATCAAACACAATGAAGAAGCCATGTGGATAAAAAACCATGTTTACCAAAACCAGAGAATGGAATGGGAACCAATAACAAGAGCAGGAGGTAACAGCAATTCTGAAAGAAACTCTGAATTGAAAGGCCCCAGGAGCAGACCAGATAGCAAATTTCCAGTATTGACATACAGTTTTGGAATAATTAACTGGAGACTGGCAGAACTGCAGAAAAACTAGGAAAACAATGACAACATATGGGATGCATTATCCGAAAGCAGACGCAGACAGAATTTACGTAAAGAGAAAAGAAGGGGGAAGAGGACTGGCACAAATTGAAGCAATATACAAAAGTGAAATACAGTGAAACCTCGATGCATCGTTTTCGGCGGGGGTGGGAAATAAAAACGATGAATGCGGGAAAACGATAGATGCGGGAAAGCATTAAAAATTTAAAAAAAAACAATATTTCTCTTTCAAAGTTACTTCTTTTTACCAAAAAAGTCTTTAATGGACAACTGGTTTGTCGAAACTTTACGTTTTAGACCAAACAGAGCACTTTCCACGTTCAAAATGTTTTCCTCGTCACGTTCACTAATATTAAGCGCATAAAAGAACAACTTCACTTTCGCCAATGCAGCGTGTGCTTCGG